ACTCTTCGAGTGGATTCCAACAATCTTTACCGCTTCTCATCACATTAATTTCAAAGGAAGTTATGGGCCTTTAAAGACTGCATAGTCGCGGTCCAGGAAAAAGGCTTGAAAAAATCAAGGTGGAATTGACGGAACAACGGGACTATTTTTTGAGCGAGTGATTATTTCAAGAAGTTTTAGCACTTATTCGAAAGCTCTAATCCTCTAGTTTCTAATTAGCCTTAGACATCTGCAAAATGTTGAGTATGAAGAAAGTTATTAACGTTTGAATGTCGAAAACTCGCGCCTTCTCAAAAATCGGACCCCAAACCACCCAAGAACGGAACAACGGGACTATTTTTTGAAAAAATGATCGCTGGAAAATTTTCAGGTGCTTGTTCGAAAGCTCTAATCCTCTAGTTTCTAATTAGCCTTAGACATCTGCAAAATGTTGAGTATGAAGAAAGTTATTAACGTTTGAATGTCGAAAACTCGCGCCTTCTCAAAAATCGGACCCCAAACCACCCAAGAACGGAACAACGGGACTATTTTTTGAAAAAATGATCGCTGGAAAATTTTCAGGTGCTTGTTCGAAAGCTCTAATCTTCTAGTTTCTAATTAGCCTTAGACATCTGCTGCAAAGTTGATATGAAGAAAGTTATTAACGTTTGAATGTCGAAAACTCGCGCCTTCTCAAAAATCGGACCCCAAACCACCCAAGAACGGAACAACGGGACTATTTTTTGAAAAAATGATCGCTGGAAAATTTTCAGGTGCTTGTTCGAAAGCTCTAATCTTCTAGTTTCTAATTAGCCTTAGACAGACATTTGCAAAAAGTTGATTATGAAGAAAGTTATTAACGTTTGAATGGGTCGAATAACCATAAGACGCGTGCGTTCGTATAAACTGTGGACTCCAAACCATATAAGAACGGAAGCAACGTAACTATTTTTTTTTCATACAAAATGACGCGTGGATGATGTGTTTGATATTGTCTGTGCGATGGTGTGTCACAATCGTTTTGCTATATATCTATAATCTTCGTGTGTTTAATTACCTTAGACATCCTGCAAATGTTGAGTATGAAGAAGTTATTAACGTTTGTAATGTCGAAATACTATGCGCCTCTCTCAATAAATGCGAACGTCCTTCAATTCTTCCCATAAAGAAGCGGTTTGGTCGTGTCCCGAACAACGACTATTTTCGAAAAATGATCGCTGGACACCTATTCAGGTGTTCGATTAGCTCTAAGATTCTTCGGCTGGTCTTTAATTACACTTGTTTTAGACATGCTGAAAGGTGTTGAGTTATTAGCTAAGTTATTAACGTTTGGAGAGTGTGCGAAGACAGCTTTGGCCTTCTCACCAGAGAGCGAGCTCGCGCAAATCCATTAAAGAACGGACAACGGGCCTCGTTTTGATTAAAAATATGCATCGTGAGGAATTTCTAAAGGTGCTTTGATCCCAAAGCTCCTATATCTCGTTCTGCGTTTTTAATTAAGGCGCTTAGATACCTCTGCAAAAAGTTGGATACATGAAGAAAGTTATGATGCTCTTTGAGATGTCACAAAACCTTAGCTGCGTTGACGTACAGTAACCCTATCCGACCAACGGCGACGCTTTTTGAAATACTGACCCATTTACTACCCTTGCAAAACTACTCTCAGAAAAAGAAAACTATTTATATGCCTTCCTAAAATTTTCGTGTTCCCGATTTCATGGAAACACCTTCGAAAGAAATATATTATCTTGCACTACACGAGCGGGTTTTGGATTGCACGATGGAAACTGCTACACGAGTCTAGGTTTTATCACGATCCCGTTAGTATATCATAGGACAGCTTTTCAGAGAGATGAAAAATCTTCTTGGTGGGGGGCTTTCGAAGTCAGGAATCATTCTACGACCTTATAAAGGATGTATTGTGTTTTCGCGCAACCATCCTCCCCTCCCTGAGCGAGACATAGCGGCGCCTACTGACCACCGGTCTCTCCCCCACTCCTCTTTTCCCATTGTTGGTGACTGCCATCCAATCATCGGTTTGCACCTCTCGTGAAGTAACATTATGTGAAAGACATGATTATCCTCAAACCCTGGCGCGCCCCGAGGAGCGACTCCGTCACCGCCCACGCTCCCACTCCCGACAAGTATAGGGTCGTAAAAATCATTTCGGCCCTGAATTCGCCGCAACTCGCAGGTGACCTGATTGGCAACACACACCCCCGCCCACCGCCCTGCCCCCGCCCCTCCTTCCCTTCCCCCCTCGCTTTCTCGTCCCACGCGCACCTGGCTTCCCCTGTCGCCTCCACCCCGCTCGCCGCTCTTTGGTCTTGTCGATGGCGTTCTGGCCGCCCGTACGGCTTTGGGAAGCTCGGTCACACGTGACCAACTCGCACTGCGGCCAACGGCTCTCAAACGCAGCGACCAGTCGACGTCCCCAGTAAGCCACGTCTCGGACAAAGCAATGATATCAAAATCAAATTGACCGATTTGATATGAAAGGCTGGAATCATTTCACGAAGACTGAATACCCGAATAAAAACACAATAAAGACGTTCAAGGTTCCGGAGAGTGCTTAAGAGTTTGAAGGATCAGATTGCTCCATAATAGGGGTGGCTGCGCGAATACTAGCATCAGAAATGTTAATGAGGCTCAGGAGAGACACAATTGTTTTGTGACTGAGCTTGCTTAAGCATCAACATATTACGTCGTGCAGACCTTATATGTAGCATATTCCTAGCATAGCACATTGTAGTCCTTCACTTCTCTCCTTCCTAGTAAGGGGGCCTGATATAGATTTTTGGAGTCGAGAAGTGCCTGAGACGGGAAGCACGGCGTAAGATTTGTTTCGAATGAAAGATGAGGGTAAGACAACTTTCAAAAGTCTTGGAAAAGAAGAATTGGGGCGGCCCATCCGGTAGGCGGTAACAGGAGAACATTCAATCTCGAGGAAATCGAATACACGTCTCAAAAAATTGATATCACTAACTAGACGTTCACTAAGCGAAGGAGCACAACTCTTAGGTAAACCAACTACAACAACGGAGCGTTTACGCTCAATCTCATCGAAAGATGATGATGATGAATTCACAACATCAGCATTACTTTCAACAACATCCTGAATGTGAGAACGATCAGAATTGGGGCAGGACTTACTGATAACTGCTTTCAACTCGGCATTCTGCGCCCTGAGTGAGGACACTTCTTCCGCAAGTTCCCTATTGCGGCACAAGACGGCGTGAAGATATTTACGATCTTCGAGGAGGATGGCGAGCACTGAACGAAGGTGCTGCGGCAACGTTTTGATCTTGCAGTAGAAGGGTCACATTGTTATCGAACTTGTCCGGCAGCTCTGTCGGCGAGAGTTCGATGCATGATCTTTTTTGGTCGATTCTGAATACGCACGGAAGACAGCGGGGTGTTCATTGCGGCTAGAGTACCATACAAGAGGAAATGATACTTCTTCTTTTTCACACGTCGACTAACACTTGACTTCGTGTTCAATTAAAGGCAAGATTCGGGATAAAATAGGTGTGGAAAAGCGTTCAGTTATGAAGCTAGAGGTGGGAGGTGGTCTGTAAAAGAGAAGGAAAGCAAACGAAACCACCGATTACGCCCCGTACAGAGACCTCCCCTATTTCAGCCACATTCCACCTTGGGATAGAGAAGGGCGCGTTGGACGAGTTTCACGAACCTAACTCTAGTTGCTCCAGTGCCAATGACATTGGGTCGCGTGGGACCGCTGCCTCAAATGCGCCCGCGCTTTTCAAGCAGCGCCACGTGGCAACCGACAGCGGAGGGTGGGGCTTGCGGACGAAGGTGTGAGTTGCGGGTCGGACGAGCTCCTTGCGCCTTTGTCGCGCACTTTCAAGCGGCAAAAGGGGCGACATCAACACTTGTCCGCCTGCCTACTACCCCCGGGATGGAACAGGCGAGCGCGCCTAATCGCGGAGCGTGCCTTTAAGGGAGTGTGGGCTAACGTCAGGGAGTGTTGTGCGGATGCGACTTCTGCGTAGCATCCCGTGGATGGTGGAGCGGGGAGTAGAAGAGTCTCTAATCAACCTTTGAGGAGTATTACTCCGAGGGAAAGCAGGAATGGTCTTGGCATTGCAAGAAGTGGATGTCCGCCAAACTGAACGCTGAATAGCCTCGGCAAGGCAAACCTCTCCTCTATGAAGGTGAGTAGCCATCTACTGCATGTCACTTTAGAAAACACGCTGTTGCCTATCGCCCACCATAATTCGTTCCGCTCTTGAGTGGAGGAGCGTCTAGAACGGCAACAGTGAAACTGAAGGCATCGGTAAGCGTGTTGTACGCGCATAGTTCAATCGAAGCTTATTTTTTGCCAATGACGAAGTGTGATAGCGTTCATCTATCAGCACATCTGTCATCCTTTCTCTTTCACCTGACATCTGTTTCATAAATTTAGCATAAACTTGGGAGCATTCCTGCACAAATGTTAACGAAATGGAGAGGCAAACTTTTCTCAAAACATCCTAGTTTTTGGGAAGTGCCGATGTCCATTCAGAATCGCGAATGCGAATCGCGAATTTTATATGATTTCGCATTTGACCTTTACAGCTCAGTTCAAAGTGTTTCCGCAAATAATAAAGCCTATTCGACTTGGCGATGCAGAGAGCTTGATCTGCTTGAGGCAGCCTCGCTAAATGGACGCGACCCTTCGCCTTTTGCGCTTTTGTTGAATTCTCACTCATCATGCAAACCTACCCGCTGAAAACCAAAGAATAACCAGTTTATCACGTATAGCAGAATACATATATACAAATATTATGTGCAAAAGCAATGGAGAGGGACACACACACACAAGAAATAAAGACTGAGAAGAGGTAGTTGTGAACTCTAGCTCGCAATAAAAGCTCGTCAAAACTCGCAAAACGTGTCAATGTACATAAATGAAAAACCAGGGTGTAAGATGTAAGGAAATTCCTGAAAAACTTAAAAGGACCTTGCTCTCACATTCGATTGACGAGGCTTCACAGAAGGCTCACTGCTATGTACTTGGTTTACTCGGTCCGTTTTTCAATGATAAGAGGGATGCCGTTGCTAGGCCTAAGGATCATTTCCGGCAATCCGCGATTCTCCTTGAAAGTCATCGTGGCACGGAAACGGAACTGTCGTACGAGACGCGCCAGAAGCACCTTTTCTTCCATCACAGCAAATCTCTGACCTGGAACAGAGGTTAGACAATGCTTGGACCGGTTGGAATTCTCTAGAGGAATCAGGGGAAGCAGAGATTTGTCGCGATCAAACGTTTCGACATTTAAATTCAACCAGAAATTAGGCAGACCGTATATCAGCTCATAGCTTCGGTATCAAACATGATCCAGTTCCCACACAGCCAGCCAAGCCTTTTATTCGCTCTGCTGATTCATAATAAACTCGCCTCAAGTGATAAAATCTTTAGAAAGCTCATCGCCTGGCCTTCGCAACTCCATGTGCATACCAAAAGTTACTGCAATTTCAAAGGGAAAGGAATGCGTGGCACATTTCAGGAAGGCGCTAATCAAAAAATGCGAACGCGGAGTGTTTTGATGCTTATCCTATGCTCGACACAACGACACCCTGTACTCGTGGTGGTAGTAAATAAGAGCATGGGAAACGAGTGGCGGAGTTTGAGGGGCGTTAGTACATAGTAGGTCTGAAGAAGTTATTAAGATATGTCAGAGGCAGCGATTACGAATGTTCCAAGAAGGTTAAAAGGAGAGGCGGTTGTACTCGATGGTATCCCGGATCGCTCTTACAGGTATCAGTATTCCTACAGATGGGCATTAATCCTCCTAAACTCATTGTTTTGCCGATATGTCATGCAGGTATGGTAAACATTGAATCGTGTCATCGTAACGTAAACAGAACACATTTCAAAGGCAAAGTTTGCGCCACGATTTCTGCAAAGCTCCGACTATGATACAAGTTCAGCTCGGTTTGTTCCGTTAACACGTTGGAGACCGCGCATGTTTTACGTTTGTCAGGTCTCCTAGGACTTCAGTGGATTTTCAAGGATTCCTTATTGAGCAAATTGAGAACAAAAACCTATTCAGTGATCTAGACGAAATCTTATTGCATGAAATGGGAAGAAGAAACAAAAGAAAAACTGGGTGCTTGTTTCCAAAAAAATATGGGTCATAGGGCACTAC